CTGCTCCTGGGTGCAGCGGCGGACGGGGAGGAGGGCGGGGGAGTGGCAGATGAGCGGGCGCTCACCATCATGGGCTAGCCGCGCAGGGTGCTGAGTCACAACTGATTCTGGGCATAGCAGTGGGGACACAGCCCGAAGAGGCCCCCGCTCGCGAGCGGGTTGGATAATCACAGCGAGGGCAAAGCGTCATGACGACAAAGCTAGGAAGTAGGACGACAATGGGGCTTTTTGTTGATTGAACCCCTGGCTGGGTTTGACCACTCACAAGGTTTGACCGCGGTCACCGCATGGGAGGGCGTGCACGTGCCGGCTAGCAGCTGAAAGACTGGCTGCAAGAACCTCTCTCCCCCTCGTGCATGCATCGTCGATGTTGATGCAATTGCTTTGGTCTTGTGCTGGTTGTGTTGTTGGTTGCTGTCTGTGAGCACCGCTCTTGCCACCGCTTTGATTTGATTTCGCAGTGCAGGCTGTTTTCGCCCTTGTTTGATTTTGAGCGAGTGTTTGTTGGGCCTTGCACATTCAATGTTTTTCTTTTTGTGAATACTGTCTAGTTTGCTTTGGCACGAGATTGTTAGCCTGTGTGACTTGCAGGCTGTGTAATGGGCTCACAGGTCTTGTCACGGCATCAGCTATTCGATTGGATGGGCGGTTGAGATCACGTTGCTGCCATGGAAGATCTGGACATGACACCACGTGCTGCGCATACGTAGCAGCGTGCGAGACCCAGCCTTACAGGGTGACAGCCCACCCTTGCGGTCCTGCAAACTTGCAAGAGCTCCTGGACAGGCGAATGGTGGGCCGTGCTGGCCGTGTTTTGTGTCAGTATCATGGGGCATGATAGCTGCGCACGGTATGTCGTGAAGCTTGGGAGACCCTTTGAGCATCCCCACCTGCACACCCCAGCGACGGTCGCGTGCACCAGCATTGCTGTAGACAGCTGCCAGGCATGGCACCCGGATGTCAACAGGCACACGCTGAAACGTGACCGCCGCTGCACGGGGGCTGCATGCCTGCGGACCAGCAACCCCTGCAATGCTGCGAGGCAGCCAGCCGATGCCCCCTTACACTTCTTGCAGTGTCGAGGGCTGAAAGGGCGGCATTGCGCCTACGAAACCTCCACAACGCAAACGATGCGGTACAGAAGGAATGCAGGACTCAAATCACCAATCGGCTGAGCGGGCGAGAAGCAGAGGCCGGATGGCTCCAGCCGTTGACCTTGCTGACCCGAAGCCGTGAGGGTGAGCGGTGCGTTACCACAGCGCGCGCTGCTCTCACCACTACCTCAGCTGCAGCTCTACACCTACTGGGATGTGGTCACTCGGAACTGCAGGAATCGGAGGGGCAAGTGACAAGTAAGCTTGAGGGGTGGGCAAACGAGTCAGGCGGGTCACAATCGACCTTCAGGCTGGGGCTAGCCCAGGGCTACTCAGATATGGCCAGTGGCAGGCGCGCCGGCAAATGGCAGGAAGTTTGGCTGTGTCGCGAGCTGCCACGCTGAAACCACCCCCCCACACACACACACACACACCAAATTCAGATACGTCCCCTGACCACTTGCACCTCGCGCACTCACATCTGTCGTGGGGCAGCCAGGTCAGCGTGCGCATCGCCTCGTCCGGCGCCCGTAGCGCGCCCACCGCAGAGTACGCCACCGGCCTCCCCTCCTCGTCGCCGTACCCATTGCCAGGCGTCTCCCAGGGCATGGCCAGCCACCCCACCGCCTCGAGCGCCCCTGGCGTCACCCACACGTAGTCCAGCGTCGCCGCCAGCCGGGGCCCATAGAATGTGAGCGCGGGCTCAGCGCCCGTTGCGGCGACCGCGCCGCTCTGCAGCGGCCCCAGGCTCAGGCGGAGCTCGTCACTGCGCCCAGCGGGCGGGTGCGCGGGCGCTGCGGCGCGTGCGCGCTTGGGGTCGTGGCCGGGGTCGAGGCGTGTCCTGCGGCGGCGCTCCTGCTGCCACCAGAGGTTCCAGGTGTGGGGGTGGCCGGGGCTGCTGGGGGGCAGGCGGCCGGTGGAGAGCAGCTGGTATACAGGGGAGGGCGGCGGGGGC